GTCGAACGGTCTGACCGTTCAAACCGAACGGTCGGCCCATTCTGATAAAATAAAAATTATAAAAAATAAAAAACAGTCAAAACCGTTTGAACAGTTAACCACCCGGATCAGCGGTATGCTGACCAAAATCAATGATTTTGAAGAAAATCCGATTTTGAGAAAAACTGAAACAGGTCACCTGACTAGTTCTTGGTTTTTTTCGGTCCAACCGTACAGTCCAGTCCGGTTATGAAAACCATGACAATGAAGGTATTTTTGGATAAAAAATAGAGAAAATTTAGTGGGATATTTTGGTACTTTAATGCTTTTCATCATCTGATTTAATGGGCAATGGAGTATTTGTTGCAACTTAAAAGCTCAAAGGGTCTTTGTCATTGACCCCATAATAAACAGGGGGTCTTTGTAATTTATTCTAAATTATTTTCATGTTTAATAAAACTAGTAGGGCACCTATGCGATGTGCAATGCACGGGAAAACCCAATGTCTAATTTGCTGATAAAAAGGATCAAAAGGATATATTGAATGTTGGCTGTTGGTAAATTTCCAAAAGTATATTTACTAAATTATTGATTTTTTAAATATATTAAATAATTTATTTTCTTTTTAAATATATTATTTGCAAAATCACGATAATTTATCTTTTACTTTTCAATATAAGTTAATTAATAATTTCCTTTTCTAAAATTTTCCAATATTATACTAACTTATATTAATAACATAAATAGTTTGTGTAATTACAGTATTTTGAAAATAAAAAATTTTACTATAATAATTAATGTAACTTAATAATTATTACTACACTAATAATAAAATTACACTAATAAAATTACATTAATAAATTTTTGAAAATGTAAATTCCAATGAAACTTATTACTGTAATTATTATCAGCAATAAACTTCCAATAATAATTATTGTTATAAATTTCCATAAAATAATAATTTACACTAAAATTTCAAAGATAATTATTTCTGTAATAAAGTTAATATGAAAAACAAATCTGTAGTTAGAAATAAAATTTTCATTACAATAATTATTGTAATTGAATTATTACAATAAAATTCCAATAAGATTGATTATTGTAATAAAATTATTTTGAAGCAAACTGTAATTATTACACTAATAATTATTATTGGAATTTCTGTATTTCAAAATTACTGTAATTACAATAATTTCAAATAACAGATTTTATTGTAATTTATAATTCTGTAGTAATTATTATTTTTAAATAATGGAATTTTGTGTAATTTAATAATTACATTATTGGAATTGATACAAAATGGAAAATTGTTAATTATGTAACAATAATTATTACTATTAATTTTCATTATTTTAAATCAAGATTCACAGTTTTTTCTATTATTAATTTTTCAAAAATTATTAGATAATGGGAATTCCTATTTGAGGTTATGAAAAAAGGAATTAGTTAATCTACACTAATAATTATTTTAGTGTAATAATTATAATTACATTGATGATAATAAAAAATTCAATAATTATAAATTATGATAACATAATTATAAATTTTCAATAATTACAGTAATTTTCCATGATATTCCAAAAAATAAAAATGTCATAAACTTTCAAAATTGCACTAAGTTATCTGTTATTTTCAATTAAAATTAATCAATAACTTTCTGAAAATATAATAATGAGAATCACGCTAATTTTCTGAATAATCAATTATTAATTTTCAATAATTATTTATTAGTTGAATAATCAATAAATTTTCAATAATTTCAGTAATCTATTGAATAATCAATAAATTATCCATAAATTCCAAAAACTACACCAAACTTTCTTTCATTTTCGAATGAAATTAATCAATAATTCATAATTATCTGTTGAAATCATAATTATAATTTTTAGAAATGTAATTATTTCAATATCTTTTACCAACAATCAATTACTAAATTTTTTAGAAATTATTGATAAATATTAATAAATCATAATTTATAAAAACTACACCAAACTTTCTTTCATTTTCGAATGAAATTAATCAATAATTTATATTTATCTGAAATCATAATTATAATTTTTAGAAATGTGATTATTTCAATATCTTTTACCAACTATCAATTACTAAAATTTTTAGAAATTATTGATAAATATTAATATTAATTTATTAATAAGTTAATTATTTGTATTTATTTTCAGAAATTACTATTATTATTTTTGTAAATTTAAATGAATATTATTGATTAATAGTTATAAATAATTAATTTATTAATAATAGTAATGCTTTAATTGTTCTAATTTATTAATTATTGCCTCACTAATTAATATATTAATTATAGATTATTGTAATATACTTATTTATTAATTAATGCACCGAACATTTGTAGTCTAGGGTGTTTGCCGAAACTCTACTTGTCCCATTCTCTTCAAGCATTTTAAGAGGGGATAAGATTGGAAATATGAAATCAGGAAGGGGTAGGATTGGAAACCCCCCAAACTCTACTTGTCCCATACTCCCATTCTCTCCAGTCATTTTAAGAGGGGATAGGATTGGAAATATGAAATCAGGGAAGGGGTAGGATTGGAAATATAAAATCAGGGTGTTGGACGAATCCATTCTCTTCAAGCATTTTAAGAGGGGATAGAATTGAAAATATAAAATCAGGAAAATGTAGGATCGGAAACTCCCAAACTCTACCTGTCCCATTCTCTTCAGGCATTTTAAAAAGGGATAGGATTGAAAATATAAAATCATGGAGGAATAGGATTGGAAATATAAAATCAAGGTATTGGACGATTCATCCATTTCTTCTTTTTTATAGATGGGTAAGAAAAAAATACCCACAGTTTTACTATATCAATATTATAATTTAATAAATAAAAAGTAAAGGATAATTTCACATTTTACTTTGCTCAAGACTTTTCTTCCCACTAGAGGATGCCTTTTAAAAAGTGAAATCAAAAGCGTTCTATTTTGTGGATACCCATCTTGTTAAAGTTAAATAATAGTAATCTTACAAAACAACTAAGAAGCGGTGGGCCTAGAAACTTAGTTATTCCAATCCAACCACAGTGAGATGTCTTACATTGAATCTTTTCTTTAAATAAATGTTATTTAAAGAAACTATATATTTCCATGTGTTGCCTTTAAGCACATGTGTAAAAGCATGGAAATTGGAATCATCCTTTTTTTTCTCTTACTAATACAAGTAAATAATTGCTTAATAGTACTAATATGGTATGATGGACCATTTATATAAAATTAGGGCAAGCATGCGCCATAATGTGTCGTCTAATTAACCATTTGACCTTTACAATTTAAAATATAAAATAATATCATATTTATATGTTTATGATTATGGGTTGGCTTATATTTTAAATAGTGAGTAGCTGATGGAAGAATCGATCGATTACCATAGAAGATTATTATGGTCCGTTTGATCTGTAGTTAGAATCAAAATCCCCTAAAATTGGAATTAGAATTGTCTAAAGTTGCATTCCATAAGATATGCTTTAGGGAGTGCTTTTTAAATTGTCTTTTTTTGTACTTTTTGATTGGATATAATGCAACTTTCATTCCCATTCCGATTTCAATCCCAGACTCGTATGAACCCTTGATTTGCTACTCTTGTCGGGCGGGTTCTACTGGATCCGAGCTTCCCAAGACCCGAACTGGACCGGGATCATTATCCTCTCCTTGTAGAAATACTAGGGTTTGTTTTCCCTGTTTGTGTTTATATTCATGACCAGCCCTGATTGATGGCTTAGGTCCACGTATTGGTTGTAAGACCGGATCTACTTTTCATACACGACGCCTAACATACACATTGTACCATGCATTGGAAATATCTTGCATATTTATAAATTATTATTTTCATGAGATATTTCTAATACACGATGGATGTGCATATGAGGCACCCCCCGTGTGAGGAGGAGATCCCGTTCCGTTGATTGCTACGTTGTTGGTTGGCTAGTCCCATCGTCAATACTCAACACCGGGCCCGTACAAACAGATGGGTTAATGATTCACTTATTCGGACTATCCAATTGGTGGTGGACCAGTTATCTCGTATGAGAATAGCACAAGGACCAGAGGAGCACATGTGATATGCTGTAAGCACTCGACCTTAAATCGTGGACAGAATTAAAGTTATAAAAAGGGAAGCCCAATAATTCATGTATTGGCACACTTTTCTTTTTGAGCTGCTACTGACTGATTATACTACCAAAATTTACAGCAGATATAATGGTATTATTAGATTGAGCTGGTCAACTGGGAGCTCATCTGGGAGTTAGGTGGCCGCTCGAGAAGAAGTCCACGTGGCAAAAGAGAATCACGTTATCATGTGGACGGTCCGAACTTGCCAAGTCAGCCCTCTTCTAGAGCAAAATGTCTGAATTAGCAAGACAACAGAACACGTATCAGCTTTTCATCATGGACATTTGATTCAATCTCTCCCTTTTCACTGTTGATAAAATTTGCGACGTTGCCCCTATTACACAAGACCATGAATTCCCTGATCAAGATTAAATCAGGGACAATAAGGCACAGAATTAATTAATTGAGTTATCACTCACTTGACTTTGTGAGTTTGTTCTACTCCATTGTGGGGCTACAAGGACTCTGTATTCTCTTCTGTTTACGTGGCCATGTGCTTCGGGAATTTAGCCTGTCCCACTTGAGAGAGATATTTAGTACTGAAAGAAACGTTGTCACCATCTCAACCCTACAATTTCTGTATTCTTGACCCTTGATCTTTTGTTTGACATTCCAATAGCCTTGGACCAATGGGCCCATTATTGATCAATTTTGGCAATTGGGCCGGCCGTAGTCAACAATTTCGGCCGGGCCGTAGTCCTTTTTCACATCAAAGGGGCTAAACTGGTAATTGAGATCGTGTTTTACTGTGCCACGTGCTTCCTTGCTTGATTACTATAACTCACCAGAGTCGTTATCATCATCAATAATAAAACCTGTAATAAGCAACCCAATTCTTCATACGTCTTTCTCAAAAAAAAAAAAAAACCCAATTCATAAGTCCACCCACTAATATAAAAACAAGAATAACGGTAGAAAGATCTACCCTCTACTGGCCAATGACCATAATGCCCTCATCGTCAATATTACAACGTTACAACCACCGTTGGGCGTTGGCTAACTTGGCCCCATGCCTTAACCGTCAGGTGGGTCCCTAAAACAGGTGGCATTTTCGTAAAATGTGGAGTGGGCCACTGGAGGGTAAAATCGCCACTTTTTCTTCGGAAGAAGGCTCGCTCTCCAACTCTGAACTCCCGTTTTATTTATAGGGGAACGCTTCCGAAAAGCGCTTCTGGAAAGGAAAACTGTCGGCAGCAGCAACTCCACACAGAGAACAGAGTAGACACAGAGCCTAGTCCGCAGTTCACAGTTTACACCTCCCTCGGAAAATCTTCAGGCGGAAGAGCTAAGTGGTGGCGCCGCCTGACCCATTTGACCCACAATATGCAGCGCCACCGCAGCTCTTACCCGTTTCTTGGTCTATACTTCTTCGTCGTCGCCTTTGCTTCTCTCTCTGTCTCCGCCAAACTAATACACCGAGTATCTGACCCGCATTGGCATCCCGCCACCGCTACCTGGTACGGGAGTCCCGAAGGCGATGGAAGCGACGGTAAGTCCCACTATTGCCTCTTCAATTGCTACTTAGAATAGAAGCAAACGATTTGCATTAGAAGAGCAGAATCAAACTTCAGAGCTCTTTTTCTTACTCTCCCTTTCAACTACGAATCCATGTATGCTTGCTTGTATTTCGCGTCCACGATTCCAACCGTTAGAAATGTCGAACGGAGAAGTCTTGTCTTCATGTATATATGTCTGAATTATGTGTATACGCAGGTGGGGCATGTGGATACGGGTCGCTGGTGGACGTACGGCCGTTAAGGGCGAGAGTAGGCGCCGTTAGTCCAGTTCTGTTCAAGAATGGAGAGGGTTGCGGAGCGTGCTATAAGGTGAAGTGCTTGGACAAGAGCATATGCTCGAGGAGAGCCGTTACAATTATCGTCACTGACGAGTGCCCAGGTGGGTACTGCGCGAACGGGCGTACCCACTTCGACCTCAGTGGGGCTGCTTTTAGTCGGATGGCCATCGCCGGGAACAGCGCCCAGCTCAGGAACCGAGGCGAGATCTCAGTCGTCTTCCGTCGGTAATTAGCCCCACCTCTTCTCATTTTCTCTTTTATTTCTGTCTTCTGGTTAATAATGGTTTATTTTCGTAATCAACCCACAACTCTGATTGACTTGAATTTACTGGAATACCCTCTAAGTTTCCTTTATTCTTGGTTTTTAGCCTTTCGGCTTTGTATTGTATTGTCCCCCCCTCTCTCTCGCTCATTGTATTTTCCTAAATTTCCAGTTAAAATTATTATTATTATTTTTTAATTTGTCATTTCAGGACGCCATGTAAATACCCAGGAAAGAACATCGCCTTCCATGTGAACGAAGGGTCGACAAATTACTGGTTATCACTTCTAGTGGAGTTTGAAGACGGAGATGGAGATATTGGATCCATGCAAATAAGAGAAGTAAATTCCCAACTATTTCAAAGCAATATTCGATAACGGCAGTTATTTCCGTTAATTGACTATAAAAAAAAGACGGTTATTTCCGTTAAAAACGAATTAATGACAGCCTGGGCTCTGGGATCAAAGAAGCTGGGGACAAGGGGTATCTGCATCATGCATGTGAAGAGTTGCTTTCCTTGTGGTAGATAGATCCCAATCTGACGTCAAAAAGCGAAGAACCCACATGCATGAGGCGCCCCACAGAGAATTTAATAGAATTTCCTGCTTTAATTTTAATAATGTAAATATATCATGGTATGGCAGGCAAGCTCTACAGAGTGGCTGGAGATGAAGCACTTGTGGGGAGCAAATTGGTGCATTATTGGGGGACCCTTGAGAGGACCTTTCTCAGTGAAACTAACAACACTGTCGACGGGTCGGAGTCTCTCTGCACGGGGGGTCATTCCAAGTAACTGGTCTCCGAAGGCCACCTACACCTCTCGCCTTAACTTCTACTAGTAAATATTCTACACTATTTATTTCTTTTTTATCTGAGTTACCTATCCTACTAGATTATGGGCAGGAACCAAAAAAAGTAGCCGTTGTCGGTTCGGTTGTTTTTCAAAGAAAACTAGCCGTTGGAGACTGCAACCAAGCAAATCTCTCTCTCTCTTTCTCTCTTTCCATTTGTATTTGTTTTCCTTTCTTTCTTCTGCTGCTTTTGGTTTTGTGTTTGTATTTTTTTAAGTGTAAATGCTGTAGCCCTCTCCAAAGGAGAGAGAGCGCTCTCTGTAATTTGTAATTTTGTATGTGTGTATTGTTTGTGGGACCCCTTTTGTTTACTGAGTTGGATGAATTTGGTCATTAAATGCTCGTATTGTTGCTTCATGTGGGTCCCCATGTCTATCTCTCTGCAACTTGATTCGACCTCTTTCGGGGCACCGGGTCCGTCGGAGCTGGGTTTTTTAGCTTTTGTCCCCCGCCTGTGGTCTCACTGTCAAGGTTGGTGGGAAACAGAGGGAATCACCCTTTCCATTTCTACCCAAGTAATACAACAATTATGAGATCATCTCTGAGAGGTGTGGTGTACTTTGGCTAGGCATGGGCAATTGGGCATTAGAGGCGCTTTGTAATTGGAAAGTTGGTGGACTGGAAAAAAATTCGGGGCCTAACTAAACCCTGGTCCCTGGGCAATATTCTGGGGATTTGCATTAATACAAAAGTATTTTACTACTGCAGTGCAAATAAACAAAATAAGGTAAAACCTAGAACAAAAGTAGAGCAAATGTTGGACTCAACTCATTTGCGTTTCACTCCCATACTTTTACACCGATGCAAATGAAATTACACTGCAAATAAATGAGCCCTTCTTTCTGGTTAGAAAAATATAAGGGCAATTTTCTCTTTGTTTTTTTGCTGAAACAATTTTCTTTTCTTTTTCAGAAATAGGGTTAGGTCTATTTGATAATTACTGAAGTGAGTGCACTGAATGAGTAGAAATTACTAAGCATGGAGGACTTTGTTGGGGAAATCTAGTGTCTAATATAAACAACAAAAGAAAAGAGTAGAAAATAAATGAGAAAAAATCAATTTAGACCATGGGTTGGAGATTAATTTCAATGAAGGGAAAAAAAAGAAATCAATCTTCAATGCTTTAATCTTAGATACTTAGGCTCTATTTGGAAGGAGTACAAATACAAATATATAGAACACAAAACCTTTTATTTTATATTATTTTATATGTATTTATACAGTATATATTTGTATTTGTACTCTTTCCAAACTGACCCTTAGATATTATATATATGATAATTGGTACATTTTTTCAGAGCTTAAATTGAATAGAAGCATCTTTTGTCTTGTAGTGAGAAGGGTTCTCTTGCAGGTACACATTTCTATTAGTAATTTAACAGAGATTCTCTCCGAAGGAGATGTCTGAGCCCATTTCTAAAAAGCAGCCAAAGTTTCAACAGCTGGTTTCAAAAAAATATAAGAGAAGTTTGGGCTTTTTCTTCTCAAAAATATATAAGATTCTCTTATCAACCCTATTACATGCATACTAAAAACAAGTCTACATTTTATCTAATTCCACAACATGTTTGATTTTGTTTCTCAAAACAAAAACAACAGCCATATCAGCGAAAGTATTTTGATTTTGATGATGTTGCAGTTGCTTTTATTTTGAAAAACCAAAACTAATCACGTTGCCGGCTTGGAAATAGTCAAAACGATCCAGATAATTGGGAGCTTAATAGGAATTATAATGAATGAATGTTAGAATAAATGGTGAACATGAAATATGCTTTCGACTGTAATCATCATTTCATTATGCATCCCACGATCCTATAGTATGAAATTCATAGAAATTAACTTATTGGGGACTGGGGTGCAACTTGGGAAGGCTTAGATTGAGATTTTGTTAAAATTTGAAGGGAGCTGATCTGGAAAGCCCGAGTACAATGTACTGTGAAATCTTTAAATCGGGCATCCGATTTACACCCTATTGGCTTTAGGCTCATTAGAGATGAAATTTAAGGGTTGTTTGATTGGGTAATACATGGAAAAAGGTTTTTTAAATGGATCGAGTAGATAGCTATTAGGCCCCATTCGTTTCGCAAATTCTAGTAGGGAAGAAAGTCGGTCAATGAGATTGTAATTGCCATTGACTAACTATCTCATATTCTCTTTGAGGATTTAGGTGGGATTCACAATAAATATATTTTCTCCGGGTATCACTTATCCGGAAAAGTGTTACTCTTCTTTCACTTGGGAAAGTCATTTTTCCGAGTGGAGAATAAATGTTCAAAATACATTATTGCCAAAAATACCCATTAAAACAATATAATCCAAAAAAAAAACATGGATTTGGGCCCAAAGGTAAAAATAACAAAAACTAGAAAAATTAACCATTTACGTCGAAAAGTGGGTGCGGCAAAAAAATATAGGAAAAATGAAAGGTCTCGTTTAGTTAGGCAAATTTAACAAAAAAGAATATAGATAAATGTATTTACTCAAATAAATGGCCTCTTGATAAACGAAGAAGGCCTTAGAGAGAGAACTTTCCTTTTTTGTGAATACACCCATGTGCCATCTCCGAGCCCAGTTGAAATGAGGTTTTTTGGGTCAATTCGATTAGGGTCGGTTGAGTCAGTTCTGGGTCTATTACTTATCTCGGATTGTTTCTGGACTGCGTTTGTGTGTGTTTTATCATTCAAGACTGGTTTACACTGACCCGGTTCAGACATGGCCTATTGACAACCCTACATCCATCGGATAGAAGCCAGCAATATTGAGCACATGGTTCAATTTGTAATCTATGTCAGGCTTCTCAGCCCTTTTCAGGATTTCCTGTGGGCAAAAACTCACTACTTTACAGGGGATTGGGATCTCCTGAGATCAAATCAGCCCACCACAATTGGGATGTGCTGTGGGCGTTTGTGTGGTGCACTCTGTGGAGAGTAGATGTAAATTCGAAGAGGTTGGTGTGGCCCGTCCCAATACACAATTGGGGTGTGCTGTGGGCGTTTGTGTGGCGCACTCTTTGGGGCGTAGATGTAAATTCGAAGAGGTTGGTGTGGCTGTTGGGAAAAGTCTTGAAGAATTACAAGTGCTTATGCCTTTTTATATTTTTTGTTTTTTTTTTGTAATTTTAATACTTTCTGTAATATTTGTTATTTTTTTGCATTTTAGTGATTTTTTATAATTTTTATGATTTTCTATAGTTATTATTATTTTTCTATATTTTTTCTTTTTCTTTGTTTTTCTCTGTAACTTTTTATGTTTTCTTTCGTTTTTAGTGGTTTTCTATAATTTTCTATGTTTTTTATTTTTCAATGCTCTTTTTGTAATTTACATTAATTTCCTTCAACTTTATGTGTGCTTTTTATACAATTTCTGTTTTTTTTTTACAATTTTTGTTTATATATATATATATATATATATATATTGTAATTTATGTATGGTTCGTTTAATGTATTAAAAGATTAATGAGTTGGGTAGGTTGGGTTGCGTCAAGGCGGGTTTTGATTGAGCCCAACCCATTTAATTGTATCTTAATGGGTCATTAATGGATTAATGGGTTAGATGGGTTAGGTTGAAGTTTAACCCAAACCAAACCCACCTAAATGCGCCTAATTACCAATTTACCACCCATATCTAAACATGGGAATGGGATCTTATTCAAATTAGGAAATATTCAAATCCAATCCTATAATATAAATCTCATATTCAATCCAATCAGATCTCAAAAAGGTCAATTTGAATTCAAATTCATTAGAGATTTTGGTGATCTGAATCTAATCCAATTTGATTTAATTTCTGTAAAATTTAACAAATTATTAAAAGAAAAAAATATAACAGTCTATATAGAGAAAAACAAAAAATGCAATATAAAGATATTTATAAATAAATAAATAAATAGGATGAAATTGGATTCTTTCGGATCGAATTTTGATCAGATCCCCTACTCCTGGTTAGTAAAGGATTTGGAGCCCTTTTAGATTAGCAGAATTTTTCTTCCCAAGATTGCGTACAGTTACGATACAAAAGCTTTTTTTTTTTTTGTGGGGAGGGGGGGGGGATTGTCTAAATCTCACCATGAGTTTTCAGTATCTCTTAAACTCACCACAACTTTTCTAAATGTCTAAACCTCACAATGTCAGTAAGTTTTTATTTTCCAAAACTCACCTTCCGTTACTGCACCATTAATGCTTCTTAACAGAGGTGTCCATGTCACCATAAATAACAATTTTCAAGACCAAATTACCCTTGAATGGTTCGTTATAGAGGAAAAATGGTCTTTGCAGTTTTCAATTTTATTGTTTTTTTGCATTTTTAATGTTTTGTTATACTTTCTGTATTTTTACATTTTTCTATTTTTTACAATCTAAAAATTTTTGGTGTTTTATCTACAATTTTTATTTTCTGATTTTTTTTTTCAATTTCTATAGTTTCTATAATTTGAAAATAATTTTTTTATTTTGTTTGCAATTTTTTATAATTTTTAATATTTTTTGTAATTTCTATGTTTTTATGCATTTTATATTTGAAAATAGTTTTTTGAATTTTTTTCCTTTTTCATGTCTAAATATTAAAATGGTAATAATATTAACACCCGTTAATTTATTTTGTATATATTTTATATTTTTCTATGAAGGTTAAAATGGTAATATATTAATGCCTGTTAGTCTGCATAACGTCAAGTTAGTGACATGATGAGTTTTAGATATTTTGAAAAGCTGTGGTGAGTTTAATTGAAATGCTAAAAAGTCATGGTGAGTTTTAAACAATTTCCCTTAGTGATGAGGTATATATATATATTTGAAATTTTCTCCTTTTCTTGAAACAATCACACTTTCCTAGAACCTAAATAATCACTTCTCCTAAACTACCTCCCCCACTTTCTCCAAAATTATCTTTAATTCCTATTTATCTCCAAAATTATCTCTAATTTAGTAGAGAGTTTCTCTCCCAATTTATCTATAATTCCTATTTATCCTCTCCCCTACTTTTTATCTATATCTATATAAAGAAATTTTGGATTAAAAAATTTAAAAATTATATATATATTCTATCATAATTATATAATAACTTTAAAATATTTATTAAAAACACAAAAAATAATTTTATATTTTTAAAAAATATATCACGAGTATTAATAATTTAAATTATGTTTTTTCACATTATAAATTTAAATTTTTTTCAAATATTTAATAATATGTAATAGCTTTAAATAAATAAAATTCAAATAACAAAAAATTTTAAATATTTTATAGATTATTTAAATATTTATCAAAACTAGATTTTAAATAGTTAAAATAACAGAATTATGTAATAAATTAAAAAAAAATCTTCAAAGTAGAAAAATAACTATAACATAATATTGAA